CATAACAACTCAACTCAGCCTAAACCTTGGGAAAGCTAACAAGGTCTGCATCCCTTTGAAAACTATACACAGACATTTCTGCTCGAAGTGAAACCATGCTTCTCGCTGAGGGCTGGAGACAGCACATGGAGCCTTAGTCATACACAGTTAGTTTCAAACTTATGCTGCTGCTCACAGAGAGAAATCAATGTACAGTATATTAAAAACAATCACTGCAGCCCTTAAATGATCCAATAGTTTAGCTTTGAATGGATTCAAGCTAATGGGGGCTTTAATGGCTTCTGACAGATCATTCCATTGATCAAGGGGCATGTATTAAATACGCTGCCTACTAAACTCTGTTTTGATTTTGAGAAAAGAAAACTAAACTTCCATGGTAAACAGGGCTTGATTGTTCACGTTCACCGGGATCCTTCTCAGCCTGACCCTGGTTGGGAGCAGAGGTGGGAGGACAATGGGAATCCTATATACCTGGCTTGCCTCCTTCCCGACTCTAATCAAGGCGTAATCAAGTGGAAATCTCTGTCTGAAGAGTTGGGGGCCAGGGGGAAGGAGGGTGGCCAGAGGTCCAGTTTTCTGTGTAGGATGAGTTACCAGCGGTAGCTTTTGCTGCTCTGAGAAATTGATTCATCCCTTGTGGGGCTCTGGGGTTGGTAGGTTAACTATGCTTGCTCCAAAGTGCAAAACTGAATCCCTCATTTGAAAGGAAAGCTGGGTTGTTCAGTGGGAGGCAGTCTTTTTGCCAAGAGGCAAAGGATAGCATGGTCCCTCCACCTGTGTGAGGCTCCAGATCATTTTACGAAGTGCTGGACAGACCTCTGCTTAGGTTTGGCATCTTTTACAGGGCTTATGGAATCTGCAAAAATGGAAGAGGAGACCTTAATATAATTCACTATGACAATTTTTTTTGTACAAGAGGTGCTTTGGCTGCCTGGGAGTGGGCTATCTGCTGCTCCTGGGCCAGACCTGCCCTGCCCCATCAGAAGTGATAAGCATGCAGAAATTCTTCCATTACCATGAAAGTCAAACCACTTCCATTGTGATTATTCATTGCACTCCGTCTCCCTTGGAGCTGCGCAGGACTTGGGAGTCTATGCCATCTCCCAGTGCTGTTTCTTTTGGGTAAAGGCGCAAAGGGCATGGTGCTGGTGAGATTTCCCTCTGCAGCTTTTATAGCTTATAGACTCTTCTTTCTCCATATCTCAGCAGCTGGGAAAGGCAAGCAGGGTAGCTTCAAAACGGCACCACAAAGGCAGTGATCATCCGTGGTTTTCATTTGACCTTTTTCTTTTTATTTGGTACCGGGAATTGAACTCAGGACCTTGCACTTGCCAGGTAGGCGCTTGTGCCGCTGAGCTACATGCCCGGCCCCTTCCATTTGATCTTTAACACCAAGCAACACCATGTAGAGGAGCTTTGGCCACAGCCACCAACCAAAAGGTTCAGAATTACTCTGAACACATGGGGTCCTAAATGACCTTGACCTTTTGTCCCCATTTTGGGGGCACAGTGCTGTGCCAGACCAACACCTCCTATCTCTCGGCAGGAAGTTGGTGCATTTACAGGTCACAAACAAAGGGAAAACCCGAGTGCTCCAAGCACTTCATTTGTATTGGTGCCATGTTTGGTCAGTGGCTTTTGTAAAATTGATGAATTTTGTCTAAAGGCAAGTGCAGACAGGCAAACAGATCTGTATCTGCTGTGATCCATTTAGCCTGACACACATGTGCAGAGGAACTATTTTACCTCGATTCTTTCAGGACTGATGAAAAGTAAATGCGAACAAAGTCATGAACTGCATCATTGGAAAGGAATCACTGAATCTAATGCTGGAAGTTAATGAATGTTTCCCTCCCCTTGAAACAGACTGACCCTACTACTTAGAATTCAGAGTCAATAAACAATTGTTGTACACAGCTCATCCATTAGAAGGTGATGGCAAGAATTTTTTAAGCAAATCTAAAATAGCAAAGGGTGACCTAATCCTGCTGTACTAATGGGAGTACTGAGGAACCATTTTTCATAGTATCTTATTTATAAAAAGCTCCAGGCCATCTGCCTAGGAAAAAAACCAGAAGCTGTGAAGAGCAAATGGGACAGTATGTGCTGGTAACATGCTATTCTTCCCAAACCACAGTTATCCACAGTCTCTTTTTTGGTATTTTGGTTGAGAGATCACTGATCATGATAATAATTTATATGTACTGAGGGATTGCTAATTACTAGGTCTGACGTGAGTCACTTCACATGCATGATCATGGGGGGGGAGAGGATCCGAGGAATGAGGATGGTGTTACTATCTTCACTGTATCAAGACAGCTGGAGCACAGAGAGGTTAAGCCATTTACCCAAGTCACAAAGCTCCACCTCTGATCACAGGAAACTGAGTTAGTAACAATAGCTACCGTCACAAGGAAGACTTGCGTATGCCAGGCGCTGCTAGAGGCATCTGTATGCACATTAACTTACTGAATCTCCACAATCACCTTAAGTGACAGTTTGCATGGCCCTCTAAGAAGAAATGGTGGCTTTCTTAGGTGAGAGTTACATTACTCAAGTTTTGTAGACAATTTTCCACAGAAAGGCAGGAGGATTCCAAGTTTGAGCCTAGTTTGGGCAACTTGACGAAACCCTGCTTCAAAATTTTAAAAAAGGGGGTGAGGCTGGGGATATAGCTCAGTGTGAAGTCCCTGGGTTCAATCCCACACATACACACATGAAGAAAGAAAACAAAGACAAAGAACAATGAGGTTTGAAGGGGTGGTAGCTGTAGAGTTAGTTACCCAGAGAACCAGGACAAAGCCAGGAAGTCAGCAAGAAGCCTCTGCTGTTACACAGGAATCAGACTTGAGAAATCTGACGAAGATTAACAAAACAGACTGGGGCAGGTGCAAAGGGGACTCGTTTTTCTTACATAATGATTTAGGCCAAATATTGGAGGAATACACTTCTACAAGTGAGTGGGAACCTCGTATCTCTGAGAATGACAGGACAACTATGGGTATCTCGGGTGCATGAGAGAGCCAGCGTGTCTTCCTTTCCCTGACAGCCACTGATACCTGCTTCCCAAATGCAGCCGCAGCCTGGCTGCCCTCGTCCCCTCACAGGCAGCCATTACTGACGAGCTCTTCTCCTGCCTTCCCCACCCTGTCCCCTAAAAGCTGTGGGCTTCCCCACCGCTGCAGTCATTACAGCATGCCTGTGCCTTCCCGTCCCCTTTATGGTTGTCAAATTGATTTCACCACCGCGATACCTATGGCTCCCAATGAAACTTAATTAAAAATACCATTTAATCACAAAGTAACAAAGGCAAACTGGATAAACGGCATTACCACTTCAGCGCATTTTAATCCGCCCTGCTTTGCTCCAACTGGATCTGTTTGAATGAGAATTGCCTTTTCAAATCAGAATCCCCTTGTCTTCCATGTGCTTGCCTCTGACAGATCTCCAAAACAAACAGTCTTTAGCATGGCACGGATCCAAATGTATGCAGTTTGCCCAGTGGTAAAATCAGCCTTAACTAGAGCAAAAATAAATAAATAAGCAAGCAAAAGTTGCATCTGAAAACACCTGCCCTGGAAACACACACACTCCTCTACTTAGCGTGGAGCATCCATTAAGCAGAGCCTATGGAATCTCATTTCCAGCATCCCCCGACTCAGTTAGTGATGGATTTAGAAGCTTATTACTAAAATTGTGTCACAAATGATGCCATGACCCTGCTCTTTTCTGTCTAGAGAACTCCCCCGGGCTGCAGGGTGCTGGTGAGAGCGAGGGGTGGACGCGGCGTGGCAAGTGGGTACTGCTCAGTGTGAACTGTGCAAGCAGGAGGTTACTGCAGGGCCTTGCAGGCCAGCAGCCCTGCCGGGGGCTGCGGAATCCCACCTGGAAAGAGGCTCCTTTGGATTGAGTCCTCTGCCCCCTTAGAAACCCTGGAATCCAGGTAGTAGCCAGAGCAATGGTCAAAAGCTGAAAACTATGCTTCAAGTTATGTCTTGCTCTCTCTGTGCAAAGCCTGTTTCTCAGCGTCAGGGAAAGAAAACCCTCACTTACTCCTTCCTGTTCTCCAGCTGTCCCTCCAGCGCTCCTCATTTTCTCTGCCTGGGCCGTCAGGGCTCTTTTTCTTCCTTGAGCACTTCTCTGTCTCAGGACCTCTGTGTCCTGTCCCTTCTGCTGCAAAGCTCTCCCCAACTGGCTCCCCACTCAGTGGGCTGGCCTACCGCCCTGCCTTGGTCATTGATTCCTCTGTCCTCCGGCCAGGTGGTCTCCTGCCTAGCACTTAGGGACTGTCTGGAAGGATCTCGCCCTTTATTCACCGGCTTACAGCCTGTCTCCTGCCTAGAGCATTCAGTTCTGTTGCCATCAGTACATATTCCTGGCCCTGCAGGAGCCTGGGAGCCCTGGGAAGGCAGAGATTTGTCCCTAGATCCCAGGGGTCACCACAGTGTTAAGGTGTCCAGACACAGAAAGGTCAGATCACTTGTCTCAAGATAGCTGGGACCCGATGACCAGGACAGCCTGGCAGAAAAGCAGGCAGGGGCTAGGGCTCAGGAAAGGTAGCCCAGGGCCAGGCTTTCCCTCTCCTTCTACATACATCCCAGCAGCTGTTGGGGACCTCCGGGGCCGTGTTCCCAGGGGAGTCCTGCCCAGCTTACTGGGGGAACCAGGCCTTCCTATGGCCCGCAGCCCATGAGCTAGCGGTCACTGCCTTGCCAGCTGTCCTTCTGCGGTCTCTTGCCTTCTGTCCTTCTAGCCACATGAACCCCCCCTGGGGAGCATGTAACCCTCAGGCACACTGAACTGATGCTAACCCAAAGCCACCACTTCTGAAAAATGTGACCTTGTCTTTCGGTTTCATGTAAGGGAGGGGCTCCTCCAATTCCACTGTCCATCACCTGGCTGCACCTGAGAATTCCCTCCATCCACCTGGGCCCCATCCATACCAGCAAAGCAGGTCCACCCCTTGGTGTGCACGGAGAAAAGTGCAGAATCGTGCTTGGTTTATCTTTAATATTTTTATTGTATATGAGCATTTAATGATTCACATGGCATTCGTACAAGCAGTTCACACGTACAGTTCAGCAGGGATACACATAGATTGGGGTGAGCACTAAACAGAACCCGTTTCTTCTACAGAGGTGCAAGCAAGGTCTGGAAAGCTCCACCACGGAGGTGTTACGCAGGTCAGGTCTGCAATAAGTGGTAATGGGGAGCCATGGGGTCTGCTGCAAACCACTGAGGGTCACAGCCTGCTTCTGAGTCGGAAGACACCGCTGAGCGTGTTGCTGTGCTAGGACAGAGATCTGGGACTGCTTGCTGTTCTGAGTTCTAAAGCAAATACAGACATTTAAATTTCATGTGAAATCTCCCAATTTAAAAAGACTGATACCTAATGAAATAAAACGAAGGACGAACACTGGCAGCCAAGGAGAATACAGGGCTGGACGGCCCAGGGAGGAGGCCCAGCCTGCGACTTAGGTACGCCACATACCCCTTACCTATATTACTTTATTTAACCTGTTCATACCCTGTGAGGTAGCACTTCACCTCTTCTTCACCGATGAGGAAACTGAGGCTCGGAGTCATGAAGGAAGGAATCTAAGGCCTGAGAAATTCGAGACTCAGCATGATAAAAACCTGACTGCTTTGTGAATGTGACTTTTCTGCCCCCAGTGAGGCTCGGACGGCAGGGAAGAGTGCGCTGTGCCCCTCTCCGTGCAAGAGCCCCCAGCTTCTCACCAGTGACAAGAGAAGGCAGTGGGCTGAGAAGAGGAGCTGACGAGTGTCACACATTTTGGGGACACCAAACGGCAGGAGCAAGGCAGAGAGTGAGAGCTGTGTTGATGGTGTCAGCAGAGGTGTGGAGGAAGAGCAAAGTGTCCCCTCTCAGCTCGTTACTGTCACAAAGCCATGCCAGATTCACTGGGTATTTAATGCTGTACCAGACAGTACTGTAAGTATGCAGCTAGATCACTTCATCTTCATCGAAGAGGGTGGTCCCTTCAGCATACTGAAGAGGAAACTGACGCACAGTAACTTGCTACGGTCACACAGTTCCTGGGCGTCTCAGTCCAGGCACTCTGAAACTGGAGCCCTGGTTCAGTCGGCACTCTGCATGGTCTTTCTGGCCCCAGTGTCATTGGGATGGGGCACCGTGGTTCTCCCAACCTCACTGCCACCTGTCATTATCTAAGAAGGGGGGGAGTTATAGAGAAAACTGTCCTAGGCTACTTAGGCATGAAGCAGTATAAGCAGGGCTAGGTCTCTGTCCCTGTCACTAGACGAGGGACATCCCTTGAGGACAGGCTGTCAGCTTTGTTCTGTTAGTACCGCCCCGTGCCTGGGCGCAGGGATCCCAGGGCAGGCTTTCACTGAGCGCTGTCTGAGATGGGGAAGAGGCTACTCTTCAGAGAGTCACTGCTCGCCAATCACCTTCTCTCATAGCTACAGGGAACTGGCAAAGGGAAAGTCTGCTCTCCGACTTTTTAGAGACATCTCATCTAAGAGGACTTCTGAAAGTGAAAAACATGTCCCACAGCTGCCCTGCCCGCAGGAGCAGTCCTTAGCCACATGTGGCTGTTAAACACTTGAATGTGGTCAGGCCATGTGAGGAAGTGAACTTTTAATTAAAATTAAAACTGAATTAAAATTAGAGAAGCCACAGCTAGCAGGGGACACCACGTCGGATGCCACAGGTACAAAACCACATGGTCGGAGGCTGGGGTGATGTCTCCAAGCTCTGTCTTGCCCGTTACTGGGTCCACTCTGACTCTGAGGAGGCTGATGAAGGGGGAAAGAGGTGAGGCTTTATCACAGGCCGGGGCCCTGGGGGCTGCAGGGCTCCCATGAATTAATCTGAGTGGGTAACAGTCATTTGGGGGGAAGTTCCTAAATCAGACTACAGCACTCATTTGTCAACACTTTAATACTCACGGGCACCACTCCTTAGCTATTTTGAACTGGGATCCAGGTACAGCCTAAGGGCTAAGTGAAGTCTACACTGCCCTCGCCCAAGCCCCCGGTAAGGTCGGAGAAACAAGAGTCAGGTATCTTTCCCTCTCCACCTAAGACCTGTGCTCCTTCTGGGCTTTGGTTCCCAGAAGCTGACCTCTGAGTTCGGCAACGATGTCTGTGAGATCGAAGGGCAGAGGCATGGAGGGGTCATCCTTCTCCCAGTATGGTCGACAGTCTGGTTTCTGATCCCCCGGTAAAGATCGGGCAATTCGGGACTGGCACCTGAAAGCATAAGAAGAGGCAATTAACCCACTGGGGAAAAAGTCTGAAGATCCAAGCTTGTGGAAAACTTAAAGACCGACACTGAAAAATGCTCCCCAAAAGGCCTTCTCTGTTGAAGGTCATGACGATGATGGGAAGAGTGAGTTGCAAGGCAGAAAGGGGGTGTTTATAAGGAACAAGAAATATTCCTTATTGTGCTCAGCTTTTGCTTTTTTTCCCTTTTCGATTCCCAAGCTTATATTATCTCCAGTGACTTCGAAAAAGCCAATCATCAGGGAAATTCAGTTACTCTGCCTTTAAAATGGTGAATTATTTTTTTCATTATCTCAACTGTTATTTAAAGTGTGTGATTAAGCCATTATCAGATTTAAATGTTTGTGGGATTTCGATGTATTACTAGATTACTGAGAAAGATTAAATTGAATTTACTGCATTAAAACGTCCAAGAATAGATTAAACAATATTACAGACTGGGATTGACTTTGGAGATCCTGGAGATTTACAAGTGTCCCAGCTTGCTGTGCTCAGGAAAAGGCACTCCAAGGAGAGACCGGTTTATCAGGATGTATGCAAATAGAGGTTAATAATCATTTCCGCTGATGAATAGGTGGGGGAAACTTCCACAAAATTAAATTAAGAGCCTAGCAAGAGTTAGTCCCTAAGGAAAACACTTAAATCATGGTTTTTATTAAATGGATTATTCATCAATAGTGGAGAAATTAATTATCATATGCAGCTAAATTATAGCCTCATAGGAAAAAAGTTGGGAAAACATCATCACACCTTGGCAGGGATGTACCTCTCAAAGTCTGGTTTATTTAAAATTGGACTGGGAAAGTTCAGTGGCTTTAGCTTTATTTATCTGAGAAATGAGAATCTGAGAAAAGGAAACAAATTGTAATAAGGAATGAATAATTTCTTTATTCTCGGGGAGAGAGTGCCCGGCAGTCAAAGCGCGTGTGTCTACCCAAACCAAATGCTATAAGCACATTTGGAGGGTCACAAAGCTGCCTCTACCTTGGCCTTTTCTGCACCTTGCTCTAGGTCAATTAAAAAGCAGTCATACCCACTCTTCATCCTCTGACTGCATAGGAAAGACTGTGAGGAGAGCAGAGGATGGGATGGCCTCGCTGCAATCAAGTCTGGTGGTCAAGAAGGTTCCTAACTAAAAGAGATCGCCTTCTCTGGGCAATTATTAATGGTGAGGGGATCCCCAGGGGAAAACATACTTCAACTTTACACCTAGTTTCGCGTGTGGTTAATTGCTATACCGGCATCCTCTGCACTCAATCCGTCGTACATTACACATAACATTCCAATATATCTTCAGCTCTCCGCATCAGGCCCTGATAATAGCGTCTGTTAACATGCGCTAAGTACTATTATGTAGCACATCACTTCATAAATAATAAGATTAGCTGACCTCAGGGCTTCAAGAAGAGTAATGTGTTTAAATGTTCTCATTATTTATTTAAAACAAGAATTAAAGCAACAGAAGCTGCTTCTGACAATCCTCTTAGCATAAATATTAAACTGTTTGCGCTGATAAGCACGCATACACTGAGGGACAGAGGGCGAGTTCTGCAGACTACTTCACCATAGGTGTTGGGGACCACGCCGAGTGCTGGCCTCACTCAGGAGGCATCTCCATAGTTCTTGTGACAGTCTCTAAATCACTTGAAAGAGATGAGGGGGAAATTAATATTCAAGAGAAGCTGCGACTAATTACAAAAGAACTATGCAAAGCTTTTAAAATTGTGATTTCTCTCTGCCTCACAATTGTAGAGTGATACCCAATTTACCGGCCAGGGAAAGTTATTCCAAATTGAGCATTTCAGCCTCACAGTGGATAAATTATCTGTGCACACATTATCCTGCTTGGCAGATTAAAGGGCTATGATAAGTGTCGATCCACCTAGAATATCATAAGGTGTGCAAAAAGTCAATAGAGATGCTTTTTCACCTGTCAAATGGTTTTGCCTCCTCACTTTGAGAAAGTATTAAAAATATTAAAACCTGCAGCAGAGGTCTGCTTGTGCCATGTTGTACAAGCTTCCCAAAGCCACTGGCTTTGCTTTTGGGAAAGGTGTTCCCCAGTTGTGCGCCACGTTCTTTGCATCAAAGGACGGCTGGGGTGCGGGCTGCCTCCACCCATGCAGACCCTAGTTGTATGTCCTTGTCGCCTCCACTGAGGCTGGGATGAGAACCCTTTGCTGGGTTTCTTCAGGGCAATTTCCAGATTGTTTTAAAGTTCTTCCTTTAATGCCCAGTGTGCCCTGCCAATTTCCAAATGACAGTGAAAGGGTCCAGCAGAGGGCTCACTGTTTGTGGTGATGTATTTATTTTCTTATGGGAAAGGACACACAGCCCCAGCTCCAATTATGCTATTTGATTCAGAATCATGGCAGACCATAGAACCATAGAAAAGAAAGGGTTGAGAATGACTTGAAGGAATGACTCTCTTTAGGTTTTGATTTCTCTTGCTCAAATCACTTGTTCTGCCTTTTTAGATCTCAATGTCCCTGACACGGGAAAGCAGATCAATTACAGGCTCCGTGTTCTCTGGAATCCTGGAAGGACATGACATCTGGGGCAAGGTCTTTTTTTACCTCACTGAGCCTTGGCTTATCTGTCAAGTGAGTATGATAATAATGATGATAACAGTAATACAGTAGACCCCCTTTTTTCACAGTTTTTCTTTCTGTGGTTTCAGTTATCCACAACCAAACATGGTTTGAAAACATTAAATGGAAAATCTTAGAACTCAATACTTTGTGAGTTTTAAATTGTGTGCTGTTCTGAGTAGCATGAGACCTTGTGCCATCCAGATCCGTCCTGCACAGGATGTGAGTCACTCCTTTGTCCAGTGTAATTGTATTATGTAGCTACCCACCCAGAATCCTCATAGTTTCATGATCTAAAGTCACTAGAAGGAGATGGTCCTCCTTTTGATGCTATGTCAGAAGGTCAACAACAGCCTAAGGCTGACTGGAGTAGGTAATTGTTATCTTGTATTTATCCCCTCCCTCCCCTCCAAGAGGATTCGAACTTTCCTGTGGGGAATCCATCCCTTCCCCATGCTTAGCCATGTGGTCTGGGTTCCACATCTAAGGCCAGGGGAGAGCCTTGACTGGCATAAATTAAGCATATCCCCCTCTTCAAGACACTGTTATTGTTTCTACAATGCAACAAGAAGCAGGGGTTTGGATGATAGTGTTAGAGTAGCTGTATCAGGCCTTATTGCCTGTTTGGCTTTTCTGTCACTTGCAACCGAAAGAATCTTAGCTGATATGCTGGCCACGCCTCCTACCTCTCCATTATTTCCACCTTTTACAACACCCATGGCTATGGCCCTGCCATGCATCTGGTGCACTGCTAACACAGTGTAATGTGCGCAGATTACCTGGTTCTGAGAGCATGAAGACACTGGCCTTTGTCTTTGGTTCAAATTGTATTTCGAGTTAGTTCAAAAGCCAAGGGAATGCCAGTGTCACCCTCAATGGCCTTTGCAGGAAATAAACCTGTTTTCTTTTCCAGCTGGAAGATCTTTCAGAAAAATGTTGAAGAGTCCCCAACCCAGTATCATTCTCCAGTCCTACTGAGCCAAGCTAAACATAAGAAAGTTATAGCTTCCCTTTTCCAACTTGTCCTCACTACTGTTCTAGAGAGAAATCTGATTTTTTGGATGCTTCTAGGATTAGACAATAAATTTGGATCTACTTGGGAAATGCTGTCCTTTTCAAGAAGTACTTCTTTTCCAAATGTATATTATTTTAATTCAAGGGACTCCATAAGCCACCTCCCAAAATGTTCACTGCTTAGGACCAGTTCTCCTTGAATAACCTAGTGACAGAACAAGTAACTGAGAGGTGTCACACTGGCTGGTCTGCCAGCAGATTGTCCAGCAGCCCCCCAGCCTCCACCCCAAGGTGTAACTCATATAGGGCCTCACTGCCCACTGATTTCCCCCAGGGCTGCACTTACATTTGGATGATCCAGATTGCAGTTACATTAGTGGACATTGGTCGCCATGCTAAAATTAACCACTTTAGCTAAAGTGTGTGTTAATTATGGGTATGCAAGCAGTCAATAAAAGGTTAATGCAAAAGTCAAAGGATAAATTTCTTCCCTTATTGCATCACTTCACAGACTAAATGACTAACATTATACTTTGTGTTTTTAATCAATAGGTTTTACAGTAATGTGCTGGTCATTGATTTTAAGAAAACATGTACGATCTTCTTCCTTGTCCCTAAATTTTGCAACAGATAAAGAAGGACAGGTAACATTTCCATTACTTTTGAGACAATGATAATGATTTCAGGAGAAATGGTTTGTGCTAATAGATTCATCGGGACAACCAAGCTTAAAAAACTCTCTCTGTCTCTGTTTCTCTCTGTCTCTGTCTGTCTCTCTGTCTCGGTCTCTGTCTCTGTCTCTCTCTGTGTCTCTCATACAAGCTAGAACTTCATGGAGAAATATTACCAATTACCAGGCACAGGTCAAGAAAAAGCACAGGTCAAGAAGAAAGAACCCTAAAGAGAGATTTCCTTACTGATGAAGAAGACAGCAACTCCTGATAAAAATAACAGTTATATTTTGTATATTGTTCAAATGTCCCAAAGAATTTCAATACATAACACCATTTTGTTTGACTTTCACAATGACCTAGGAGAGATGGCTGAGGCTGGCATTTGGATCCCCTTTATGTATAAGGATGGCCTTACCCAAGGTTCATCCAATAGTCAGGGAAAGCCAGGGTGGGGCCAGACCCTGGACAGCTGGCTGGCTGTTTCCATTTCATTCCATCTTTTTTCATGGATTTCCATTTGGCTTAAAATAGATCTGTGTCCACTGACTATTTAGCTGCTCATGCCAAATTTAGACTCTCTTTAAGAGATTCTATACAATTTTAGGAGGAGGAACAAAATATTTTTATTTCTAGAAAGATTACTATTGTGGCAAATGACTGATAAAACTTTTTCTTCTTTTCAATCTAA